GCTCCCGCTCCCTGCTCCGTGTCCCGCTCCCGCTCCCTGCTCCGTGCCGCACTCCCCGTTCCCGGCGGAGCACACGGTCCCGGCTGAAAGAAGGGAGCTTTACATCTAGGGGAACTAGCACGAGTTGCACACTACTCCACTACTGCTACCCAGCCGCTAACTTACACGGTGCTCGGTTAAGTACAAAGGGAACTACTGGAGTTAGCAAAGGCTCCGACCGAGCACGCTCTAACTCCAATGTCTGCCCTGGGCTGTCCCAGGCATGAAGCTTCTCTTCACAAGACTGTGTAGCTGCAAAACAAATGTAAGCGTTAAAATAATAAACAAACAAAAATTAGAAAGCAAAATAAAAACCAACAAAGAAGTACGGACAAACACGGCCCCAGCCCCGGTCGGCACACAGAGACATCCACATCCCAACAAATTCTACCTGCTCTCCTGCCTCTGTCACATCGCCCGGGCCACACGCTGCTTGGCAGAGGCTGCCCGGGCACTGGTGCAAAAAGCACAGCAGGGATTGCACTAATGCTGCTGGAGGTGGTTTGAGGGTGACCTAAAATGCTGGTCCGAGTAGTGACAGAGCAGCACGAGGGCAAGTACAAGATGGGATTGAAAGAGAAAGAAAGTAGGGGCATCCAAACCACTGCAAACCTCAACTCAGAGGGGAGTGGGGTGGGAGACGCTGCCCCATTTGGCAGAGGAGTGATTTGGCACTCCTCAGCGTGCCAAGCAGGGCCTTGCTATGAGCAAGAGGAAGGATTTAATACGAGAGCAGTGAAGGACAGCTCAAAGCAAAAAAAGACTTCAGAAGAGATCATTTCCCTTCCATCCTGGCTGGGCAAAACACCTTTTTGCACCTCACAAACCAGCAGTTTGACATCCTTAGAGCTACTTCAAAAATAAGTAACTGAGACGTTCCAACTGCTGCATCAAATGAGATACTGGTGCTGTGTGCAGCAAACCAGGGAAGGATGACAGGAAGAGACAGAAGAGGGCATGCCTGCTCCTTCCTTCCCAGACTCACCTGAACAGAATCAAACACTTCAGATGTTCCCAACTCACACTAAGGATCCTTCTATTATTGCTTTAAATAGTCAGGCAGCTAGTACGGTATGTCCATGCAGGGCAAATGCTGGGAATCCCACCTAGATTTTCTCCAACTTACTGGCTTTTTCATATCCATTTTCAGAGTTTTTCAGCCACAAGCTCCTCTGCAGAGGTAGCCAATTCAGGAGGTATCAGGCAGACATTACCATAACTTGCAGACTAACCACAGGACAACCTAACTGGGCGAGCAGGACAGACACACAAGGTAAAGCTCACAACAGACAAATGCCCTTCAGGGCCAACATTACCCAAAGATTTTCACTCAGAGCACCTGACAATGGATTCAGAAACGCTACGGGGTCTTCCAGCAGCCACAGCCTCCCTTTCAAAGCATCCCTGAAATAGTCTGTAAAAATTGGTTTTTGTTCCTTTGGTACTTCTGAGCACCATCCATGTCTGGGGTCCTCAGAGGTTCTTGGCAAGTGAGACCAAATTCAGCCTCATGCATCTCCTCTATAAGCAGATCTGCACCACTGACTCCATTTACCACAAGGAAAACTAAGAGATGCGGTGACTTGCCCAAGGAAACCCTGAAAGGCAGTGTCTCTGCAGAGAATTCCACGTCTACGCCCAGATGAAAGCAAGGGAATGAAATTAGCTAGGATGAAGTTCTGGTTTTGGGTTTGGGTTTTTTTTTTCAAAAAAGGGAAGGAAACATTTGGAAAATTTCAGTGTGCAAAGGAGAGTATTTTGCAGGAAGGGAGATGATTTCTTTTTATTCTGGAAATGAAAAATCAACGTTTTGGAAGGAAGTTGAGGAAAGGAAAAAATCTTGGGGAAGGAGAAATGGGAAGGGTGGAGGGAGGGGTGGGAAAAAGATGCTGTGAAGCACTGCACCCCTGGACTTACTGGCTGAGAAACAGAGAGAAAGCTGGGACTGCATGGACTCAGTCTGTGTTTTGCTCTCACTGTGCCTCCGTCCTTCAAGCACTGAGCTGCCGTCCCCGGTGGAGAGAGGGGGAGCTAGCATGGCAGGGAATTAAAACACAAACACAAACAAAACACGCAAGTTCAGTAAATAAAAAAAGAGAAAGGAAATAGGAGAACATTAAAGAAACCACAATGCTGGGCACAAAACATGCAGGAGTATCCTCCAGGGCAAAGCCAAGTAGACAGCTCTACAACATGAACCTGCTGTGCAATTTAGAATGACACAAGGGCAGGGGGGGCAGGGGAAGAACGACACACACTGCCTTTAGCCCCACCGCAGTGGAAACAACGTATCCCTGAGGCAACTGCCACTGATGGATCACGACAATGTCTCCTACAGCACAGCAGAACAGATCTGTGTAACCTGGTGTCTATTTGAAATAAGAAGTTAGCTGTGGAACTGCACAAGCACTTTCCTTTTCCCAGAGTCATGGCTATGCAGAACACTGAGAACTCCAACAGTCCCATACCTTTTGGTCTACTTAATTTTGCTCGAGTACTTGCTTATCTTAAATGTGCAAGGGCAGGAGTGGATAAGGAACACTGGTGAACACTACTACACTTAAAGCTGAAGCACTAAAATTACCAGAGCTGGCCACAGCACAAACTCCTTCCCTCCCAGCCACCATTCAAATGCTCCTTTCTGTTAAAATCATAAAATTTTCTAACCTCTGCCTAAAAAACCCAAAACACAGTTTTGATCCTTAGCAATGTAGCCCTATACAACTCTTTGTAGATTTGGCCCTGGCCAGCTGCCCTCCTTCCTCCCCACCTTCTGTTCCAGTCCTAGCCTTCTTTTCCTCACAACATTTGTATTCCTGCCTTACAGGGCCCATTGGCTCAATTGGCTCAAGCATGGGGCCTCTCCTGAACAAAAGCTGCCTCAAGAGACAAGGTCTGGACAAATATCTGTTCTGGACAGCTATCCAGCAGAGATTAGGTGAATCAAATTCATTACCACACTACGAAACCCATCCAGTTCCTGTCCCTCAAAGCTAGGTTCTTAAACCATGGATTACTCTTTGGGAAAAAAGGTGGGAGCTGGAATGCTGTCCTGTAATGACAGGCCTTATCTGAACCAATCTGTATTGCAGAGCTCATTCACTCACTGGCATGAATTTCTGCTCCCTGTGACTCTTCAGAAGAGGAGCCAGCTGCTTGTGATAAGCCCTGGGAAAGCATCAGGAACTTGTCCAGCTGACAGGGGTGACATTGCTGCTACGTCACAGGGTCAGCACTGATTTTTCCTTGGATATGTAACTCAGATGGACTACAACAGGGAGAATGAGAATACCTCTGCCACAAAATGCAAGCTATTAACACATTTGCCTCAGAATGCAAACGGCATTCACCCATTCCAGACTTGCTCATTCAGGAAAATGTCTGCTTGTCCTTCGTTAGGGAGGTCAGGAAAAAGACAGCTGCTCAAACAACATGAGCAGATATGGAACTTGGAGCTCCTTCATTTAAAGAGTTATACAAGCCCAGAATATTTATGATATGGTCACTGAAAGGTATGAAATCTCTTCTCAGCCTCTCCCTCTACTGATATCTCAGTCAAGGACAGAAAAAATAATTTCCATTGAGAGACAACAGGCTGAGAATGACCTTCATCTTAGATACAAAAATAGACCCAAAGAGAAAAATAACAAGGAAAGTGTGTGCATATCACTAAATAGGTTCCCAGAAAGGGGTGAAAATGGAGACTGAGCAGTAACAGAGAAGTTTCAACTCCCTGTAACCTACAGGGAAGCTCAAAAACACAAGCAGACTCCAAACCTCAAGGGACTGGTAGGGATTTTCCACGCCTAGAAATGGACTGAAGATGAACAGATTATGATATTTGCAAGAAACAAATTCCAACTCTAAGACAAAAACAAATTAGCTCAGGGCAAACAGTATTTATAAACCACAGAGGCCAAGTCAGCCAGTTCCCCAGCGCATGGTCCCACTGTGACAGGAATGACAGCGTCATGGCGAATTTATGAACTGAGTCAGACACAAAGCTGGGAAGCTAGTTCAAGGCAATGATCAAATCTCCAGGATTCCTTACCTACACTGAACTGTATTAGAAATTACAGGCAAAACACCTACCTTTCAGATCCTCATCTTCGGTCGTGGTATTACAGCTCTCTGTGGAACCCTGCACGGCAGAACAGAGCATTACCAGGCGTCAGCCGTCAGGAACGTGAGCAAATAATTCGATTTGTTTGTGAAGAAAGATGGGGAAAAGCGCAAAAACATTGGCAGGTATGGCAGGGAGAGCATGATACAAGGAAGATTTGGATGAAAGCAAGCCAAATACTAAGCAAAACTTAACAGCATATCTGCTCAGCTTTTGCGTGTTCGTGCCATTCACCCAGAAATTTTCCAAGGACGGAAGTTACCATACTCTGTCAAATGAGATCAAATGGGAATTGCTTCTGTTTGGAAGAAGAATAGCCACAAGAAGCTAAAGAAGGGCTCCTAGGCTTTCTCAGAGGAAGTCTCCATTAAGTGTGCAAGGCCTTTATCTTCTCTTCCATGCCACATAAGAAAGAGAGTGGTGGTTACACACCACTGTCGGAAAGAGATGTTAGTATCTGAACAGTTGTCTCTGCTCAGCCTATTCCAGAGATCCACAGCCATACAACACATCTCTCCTAGTCTACTGCCAGCAGTATTCAGGAGCATGCTATAAACCAGACATTGGAAAGGTCAAAATTGAATTAAGACACACAAAGACAAGAACAGGAGAGAAGCAGAGGTTTCGCTGGCAACACCCCCATCCCTTACCTTTATGCCATCTGTAGCATTATGGACAACTGTTGTTTGAGGCTCCTAGGAAAGGATGGAAGAATTATTAAACTCCAATTCCAAAGCATTCTCTCATTTCTTTTCACTCCCCAGCAAGTGGAGAAAAGGTGACTGACATTAAAAAAATAAAATCAAACCACAAACTCCAAACAGCACACGTGTGCTTGCGTGCGTGCGCACACACTTCCTGCACAGAAGGTTTCCTTAAGAGAGAGGCTGCACTAAAAGCTACAGTCGCCAGGAGACAAAGCCCCCAGCTTCCCTGCAATTGTCCCTAATTCCCAATTTGCTTCTGGTGAACCAGGCTGGCACAAACAGATGGCCACCAAAGAGCCAGTCTGCACCCTCTGCAGCCGTTCATGAAGTAATGACCCCTCAGCAGTGTCCCCACTGGAAAATACTTCAGAAGAGGGAGAGGGGGAAGAAAAGATAATACTGCGCTGGGGCCTTTGTCTCTCAGGTTTTTTTTGAAAGGTTGCTGAGTATTTTACCCTAAAAAAGGGACATTCATAATTTCCATAATAAAATAGGGATGAGCCAGACCACCTCAAGGCCCCTCAGAGAGGCGTTGCTACAGGACTGTGAAAAAAGGCACATTCTTCTAAAAGTCTCTAAAATGAGTTCCAGTTTTAATAATAACAGCGTTTAATAATTTAGGAAGGCTCTCTCCATATCAAACACATGGACAAAGCCAATGAAGGGAAAGCAGAAAATTATGAAGTGTCCCAAGAATACTTCATCCTACAACAAACAAAACCAACATCAAATCCCACCCTCCCACCCACCAAAAATGCCAAATCCAACTCTCCAGGGACAGACAACAAAGAACAGCTACCAGGCCTATGGGTGCTAACTAACTCCTGCACTCATCCCTTCGTTACCAGGACAAGACTTCAGGATCCTGCACCATCTCCTCCCACTGCTGTCACTCTTGCAGAGCGTCTCAGCGAGGGCATCGGGGACTGTGCCGGGCAGTGATGTACACTCACCCATCTGCCTCTGCCACCCACTGCACTGCTGCCTGACCTCCCAAGCATACTGAGGCAGGCCACACACACCGAGCTGTGCCGTCCGATGCACTGGGCACAGGACACCCTACGAAGGCCACTGAACGCAGCCTGAACAGGAAATGCCAGAGAGCTGCAGAGGATCAGCCGCTGAGCTGAGCAGGCCAAACGGGCCATCAAAGGTTTCTTCTAAAAACCCTTTGTCTGCCCTTTCTTCTGTGGTGTCCTGAAGTCCATCCTCCATTTCCTGAGTGTGGAGAGTGGATGGAGCTTGACACTCTCTTCTTCCAAACCAGCCTCCCCAAAGCCAGCAGGAACAGTTGAACGGGACACACAGAACTAATACAGGGATGGCACACGGGGAAGTCCAGGCAAGCTGCGATTCCCACATCCAACCACAGCTCTGCTCAGCACCCCCAACCCAAAGCCTGTGAGGCTGTGATAAGGCCCCACAGCAGCACAGGGACACAGACAGAACGAAGCCAAAACATAAGCTGAAACAGAGCAGCACAAGCAGCACTCAGGAAAGGAGGGGGAAGAAGGGGAGAGGACAGAATCAAAATTAAACCAAACAGGAAAAAAAATAGCGGTTGGGGAAGATACCATGGACGTCTGCACTGGGGGTGTTTCTTTTGCAGTGCTTACTATACTGGTTTTGTTGTTGCTCTGTGGCTGAGACAGAAAAACATGATTTTAGTTCCCCTGCTGGGCAGCAGAGGCAGCAAGAAAATGACAGTATTGCTTTAAACCCAACCATCTCCTCAGACCCTCCCCTCCCCACAGGTTCAATCACCAAGAAGGAGGAGGAAGAAGGAATGCTGCCTGGGTCGCTGGACATCATCCTTCCCTCAGAGGCAACAGAAGTTGTAAGGGATGTACCAAAATCCAAATGTGCCTGGACTGCTAGAGCTATAAGGAAGGAAAACAGAAAGGGAAAAAGGGAGCAGCCCAAAGGGATGGGGAGAACCCTGCAACAAGCACTAACAAAAATATCTGGTGAAGGAGAATGAGAGATGGCAGAGGTCCCAAGAGAAAGAGACTACAGAAGTGAGAGACACATGATAGTCATGGTGCAGTCTCAAACAGGGCACAAATGGGAGTCGTGTCTGAGGAGTCCCAAAGTGTACAGGATCAGTCCTAGGTATGTAATAATGCAGAGTGTTCCAGGGAACCTACTGATCCAAGAAAAAGTGTGGTCAGCCGTAGGAAAGGTAGAGAAAAGGTGAGGTATGGTGTGTTGTGTCCCTGCTGTGACCTGAACAAAGAGACTTCAGGACCAAAGTATGGAAAGGGATGGGGTTGAAATACAAGGAAAAGGACATTAGTTCCACAGGTAGAAAGTTCTCTGGACGGTGTCCAGTAGTTTTGCCTTTCCCCTCTTCAGTCTCTCTTGTAGCTGTGGTAGAAGAATAAAATCTCTGTTTGCTATGCTCCTGCATTCACACAGCAGAACAGTGGGGCTGTCACCAGCTTGCTGAAAAGAAGCATCCCATTGAGTCATGTCTGTCAGTTATGTCAGGAATGAGCAAAGTGTATTTGTAGGAAGCTAAACACGTGTCCACTAGTATACAGTTCCTAGCCCACAAATCCAGCCCACACGTAACCCTCACACCAGCTATATAGCTGCCAGACACCAATGTCAAAATTGGCACCGCAGGAGCCTCACTCAGATTCCTTAGTTTACAGATTGGGGTACCAGATGGGACCTCACAGCAGTGTGACCTCATTACATTGGCTCTTGGGAATGTAAACTTGTACTGCAAAACATCAGGCCCTCATCACCACACCACAAACAATGCAGAAGTCAAATGCTGAGCTGGAAAACATCTGCCAAAGGTGTAATTATGTCAATCAGTGACAGATATTTTAATGCCAAGATTTCACACACACTAATACATCAGTTTTTCTTCACAATCAACATGCCTTGGCTTAACTAGCCCTTTTGGAGAGAGGAGAAGCAGAAGAGGAAGACTGGGCAAGTAGAGAGGAGAAGTAGAAGAGAGAGGCAGGAACGAATTATTTAGAAGTCCACGGAGGGGAAAAAAAAAGAGCATACGACACATTCAAACTCCAAGCTAAGAAATGAGAAATACTTCAGCAATTACTGTTTACTGCCTTTTCCTATGCATCCCTGTATTGTCCTAAGACTATGGCCTTCCAAGAGCTTTGCTTTCTGCATGTATTTCCAGCCTGATGGCGGAAGAGATGACAGTCACTGTGGATGTCAACAAGGAGCAAGGAGCAGATCAACATGAAAAAATTAGTCCCAAACTATTTTGTGGCATAAACACAATCAAACTTCTGGCAATGCCTGGGTCCACCTCTCCACACAGCACCGAGGTTCCTGTACTTCTTCAGAAACAGTGATCCTAATGCAGAGATCTATCTTCCACCTCTTCTAGTGAGAGGAATGCAGCCCATTTTTTTCTTAGGGATAAGATAAAGTTTGCATGAAAGAAGCTATAGAAAAACAATTCCAAGTTTTTGGAAGGCCAAATAGAAAAAAAACCCCAAACAACCCAAACATCCAGGAAGCCACTGTTCTGAAAAAAAGTTGACCATAGGTTGTTAGGTGTGGTATGTTGCCTTATAAAGTGCAAACCCACAGAAATCCAAAGCGCACAACCTACCCTCCAGGCGGCACTGAACACCCAGTCCACCCATCATACTCTTTCCAAGCCAGTGGGCTGAAGAAGACCAAGTAACATGCTTGCTAGTCCAGAATCACATCACATTTTATTCCAGGACAGAGTCCCAATGAAATTAGAGACAGTTTAGTCTAAGCATTTGTCACAGCTCTTTCTCAAACGGAGGTATCAGACACACTAAGTTTCCTGCACACACTCATATCTTGTGGCCAACTAACCAATTGCCCTTCCCTGGAAAAAATCTAGCCTTCCCTTCCCAAACCCCAACTGGCACAGTCAATGCTTACCCCTCCTTCCCCCCTCCTACTGCCAGCCAACATCACAGTCACTGGGCAGGCTATGATCCTTGGTAATTCAGTACAGCTCAACTTAAAAGAGGCCAATTCACCTAAAAAGGCGCCAGACCCTTCTTAAAATCTGTGTAACACAATTAGCTTTGGCACAGCAGTTGGCAGCACTTCCTGAACTAGACAACAGACAGACAGACAGACAGGCACAAACAACACAGAGGGAGCAAGAGAGAGAAAATGGACCAGTGCTCATATCACTAGGGACACACACTTCTAGCCAACTAAAAGAATATAACTACCAACACATGGGCTATCTCTGGTTATTTAGCCACCTTCACTGCTTCCATGTTTTCTGAGGATGAAGCTTACATGGTTTACATATCCCAGCAGCTTTAAAGCAACACACAAAGGGAATTTAAGTATTCCTGTCAATGGGCAGAAAAGAAGGGCAAGAAAGGCACAACAAACTCCTGCCGCGGATAAAGGCAGGGCTGGTGAAAAGTCAGTCCTTCACATCAGATTTTCAAAGCAGTACTTTGGGACTACTTTATTGTGTGTGTTTTTACATAGTTTATGCTGTCATTGAAGGAGGAAGAGGAGAAATATCTTCTGGGTAGTAATACAGGAACAATTATTCTACTTTCTCAGTACTGTAACATTCCTGTACCTACCTGAAACAGGGGAAAAATCTTTCCTGTTATTTTTTTCTGTGCAAAGAAGATAATACAACAACTGATTTTTGTACTTTAATTACTGTTCATATTCGGTGTCAAAGTGTGTCACTGGGCTGTGTATGACTCCTGACAATATGGCGCTGGCCAATTTCCTCTTAGCTCCCTTGAGAGTGGATTTGACTACTTCTTTTGACAAATTCTATGGATGTCAAACATCTGGATGGATGAAAAAAGGAAATGAACAGGACAGTTACTGGGTATTTGCTCATGCTGGGATACATAAACAAGATCAGGACAATAGGAAGTTTTGGATTCTAAAGGCTCTGCCAAACCTTTTCGGTAAGTACGCTAAAAAGAGAAGTGACCGGCAGCTCTGAGCTGCCCAGTGGTGCTGTGCCCACTCATTTCATCTGAACAGTGGAGCCCCATCAGTCTCTGCCACGTTTGGAGTCACTCCCAGTTTGTTCTACACTGCAAGGCTCCTATCAAGGATGACAGCACCAAGACCAGGCAAAGCACCTGCTCCTCTTTTGGCACCTCTGCAACTGAATGACAAAGCCCCAGGTCCAGGCAAGGTACACACCTGCTCTGCTGAGCCCAGGAGAACCACTGCCTTTTTTTGTTTCACACCCAGAGCAGGCAAAGTCAAACTACGTTGCCAGCAGTTGATTTTCTGCACAAAATGGGAGTTGTACATGGCCGGGAGCCAGAGGATCACAGAGCCCTTTTAGTGAGGACATGGACCTTTGAGTGCACACCGACCCCCCTGCCTCCCCCCCGCACAGACATGCTATGTAGGTGATGAGCACAAGCCGAGCGTGCATGGCATGAGAATGGCGGACGCACGAATCGCAGGCAGCTTACGGGAGGTGCTCACCATCAAATGCACACTGGAGCTCGACTTCCTTTTCTGGACACATCATTGAGAGAGGGAAAGAAGGGAAGAGAGGAGATGAGAAGAAAAGCACAGAAACTATTCACACATTAGTGTGCCAGCAAGGGCCCCCCTGCCAATAATGCTCCCCTGGCGCAGGTATAAGCAGCAGCAGAAACGCACAGACACGCGAGAAGGAGCAGAGAGAAGTCACCATTAAAGCACATGACTACACATCAGGGGAAAGGGCAGGGCTGAAGACCCTCATCCCCTCAAACACTGAGGTCAGAACATAGGTGCCCCACACACTGATATGAGGAGAGAAGAGAGAGGAGTATCTGTATCTATATGCACAAGATGTGGATGCAAGGGGGTGCCTCTCTGTGCTCTGCCACCTCAGAAAATGGGGCAGCCTCCCAAGCCACACTGAAGACTATGCAGAAACCTCCCACGTGCTCACAGTGGGAGGAAGCAGAGGTGTGTTTGCAATTCTAATCAGAGGGTAGGGAGGAGGGCACAACGGAGAGGCACTCCCAGGGGCTAAAGAAAGAAGAGGGCATTTTTGTGCATAGCATGAGGAGGAGAAAGGCTCCCTCAACACAGAGTTTGGGGCTGACTGGAGAGGCAAGGTGCACTGATGCTCAGACAAGAAGGACAGAGGCACACAACAGCCAGAACACTTTGCGCTCTCAGAAACTGGGAGGAGAACAAACAGGTTCAAACACTACTCAACCTTCTTGGACTCTACTCTTGTTCAAAGGCATCTTCAGCGTTCAAACACTACTCAACCTTCTTGGACATCTTCAGTTATCTTCAAAGACATCTTCACATCAAACAGCACTCTCCAATAAATGAGGCTCAACATGCATTTCTCTACTCTTTCACTAAACTCTTAGCATCATCCTGTCCAAGCTGAGCCTGGCAGGTCTTTCAGCATTACAATGCTACTCCTTTCCCCTGCTGTCTCTACATACATTTTCCATTTGCCCTTCTCCTTCAGTACCATCTACATGATTTGTCTGCTGCTTACTACAGAGTCCAACTCACACACAGCCCATCTCTGGAATAGCTTGTGAAGACTGTAAAGGCTGTGGAGTTGTGCCTCCCCATTTCATACACTTGCTGAGCCTTCACGGCTTTTACTGTGAATATTGTCTTCATCCCTGCTATCCTCACATCAGAGCTCAAGCACACATACAGACTTGCATGTCTTTGAAAGCAGAAGCACCCATGTCCACCTCATACCCAGAACCACATTCCTAATCACACCATACAGTCCAGAATCACACAGCCACTGCATGAACAGACTCAAACTAGCAAAGCTTCTGCCTCATCTGATCTTTAATTCCAGTACAGACAGACTCTGATCTGTTCAGCATTTGGCTCATGAATCTTCCACTTCATGGAGGCACAACATAGGGCTTGCCATTACATGGTTTGAAAATTTGTGAACCCTCTCATCTTCTTTCAGGACAATTTAGCTTTTCCACAGGCTTTTCCTCAAGCTAAAGCTAAAATAGGATGTACTACTACTACATGAATACAAAGCAACCCAGAGGAATCCTTGTACCCAGTCATAACAGAGAATTTTTAACTGGGAGAGGTGGAAACCCACACCAGCTGAGAAGTTGCTCCAAAATTTCTGTTTTTACTTTTAATGTATCCTGTAAGATGCAGCAGACAAACAGAGGCTACATGGATACTGCAGGGAAATTTATCTCTAAGAAAGACATTCTCATTTGAAGTTCATACAGATTTCCAAGGAGTTACAAAAACAAGAAAAGGGACAGAAAATGTTAAGATACAAACAAAAGGTTCAATATGAAAAGAGTCAACCAAGCCATGCAGAAAACAATCACCCTCCTATACAGAAGCACAAGTAACACAGGAGGAAACAGAAACCTTTGCAGATCAGAATTTAATTAGAGTACAAGCTAAATTTAAACCAACATTGGTCTATTAACATGGCATGATGTAGTGTAAAAATCCCAGAAAGCACATTATTACTGGCTACGATAATAACAGAGGTAAGAAAAGCCAGCTAGGCAGTATGAAAAGGGTGGGGAGTGAGGTCTGTGTTATGACCAGTGCATGAAAGCACTACTAAAATACAAGACAGGTTAGATAATGCCAACATGAGGCACTGGCAGTTAAGTGCTAAAGCATCAAAACTTATTAAGTCAAAACATATACAAGGAAGTTACTAAAACCAGATCAATCTCCGAATCCCATCTGTAACAGCTGCATCAGAGCCATCTATGTTACCTTCCCAAGGTGACTAGCTGAGTGAGCAAAACTTTTTGTTCTTCTTGTAATGTGACTGCAACTTAGCAAAGTAAATAAGATA